CAGAGTCTGGAGCCTGCTTCGGATTCTGTGTCTCCTCTCTCTGTCCCTCCCATGCTTGTGCTCTGTCTCTCAATAAGAAATAACCGTTAAAAAATTTTTTTTTAATAAAAACTTCTGACTAGGGAATAGCATATGATTTCTAAAGTAAAGAAGAAAGAGTAAATGCTCTAATGCAGTAAACTGTCTGAGAATGGAAATCAGGCTATGATAAAGATAAAAAGAAAGTGCTTAGAAAGAAGGGATCAAATGTGACAGCAAGGATCAGCACCCAGCTTTATAGAAAAGCTAGCATCTAAATTGGGTCCTGTAGTGTTAACAGAATATAAAACCAGAGGAGGGCACTGTAGGCTGAGGGAATAGTCTGAGCAAAGCCAGTGAGTCACTGATTGGGATCTCAGGGTGTGTCAGGTATGAGACATGAACCAGCCACTCCTGCCAAGTTATCTCCTTCCTCTGTCTCCATTGCTCACCTGTGTTCCCCTGCTTTTTCAGATCTGGCCCAGGCCCCATATCCTTTGTAAATCATTGTCCAGTAATTCTAGCATTTTTGCTCTTCGAAATCCTCTGGCACGTGCTATTTATTCCTCTCATTTTGGCACTAACCCTGTGTTGGAGGCTCCTTTAAAGTGGGGGCAGGGAACACAACTTTTTCTTTATTGCTCCTCTCCCCTTAATCGCACTTACTGCATCTAGTTGAATTCAACTTTCAGGAGTTGACAATGCAGCTGGAGGAGAAACAGGATGTGTTTCGGTCTCTACAAGATACAGCAGAGCTGCTGTCACTTGAGAACCACCCAGCCAAGCAGACTGTGGAGGTATGTGACTTGAGAATGTGTGAGGGTCAAGTGCTTAGGGTGGTCATAGTGGAAGCATCCAAATCAGAGACTTCGTTCTGCTGAAACACCTGAACGAAGTGTCAGTGATCATTTGTCTTGGATCTTCTCTCTTTATTCCAGCTCCTGAAAGACTACAAACAAAGGAGAATAGGAGGAGAAACTAGAAGAGAGATTGACTCCTATTGAACCATATATTTTATTTTATTTTATTTTATTTTATTTTATTTTATTTTATTTTATTTTTTTAATTTTTTTAATGTTTATTTATTTTTGAGGCAGAGAGAGACAGAGGATGAACGGGGGAGGGTCAGAGAGAGAGAGGGAGACACAGAATCCGAAACAGGCTCCAGGCTCCGAGCTGTCAGCACAGAGCCCGATGTGGGGCTTGAACTCACAAACCGCGAGATCAGACCTGAGCCGAAGTCGGACGCTTAACCGACTGAGCCACCCAGGCGCCCCTGAACCATATATTTTAAATAGGCATGCGGGCAGATCCTGTCTCTTGTTGGTGTGGCGCCTTTGCCCAGAGAAGAGAGAGAGAGTGGGGGAATCTGGGAGGGATTTATTCACGCGCAGGTTTTGCTGATCACTTACAGGTGACCCTTGAACAACATGGGTTTGAACTGTGCAGCCCTCTTATATGCGGATTTGTTTTCTAAATACTGTAGGATACTGTAAATGTATTTTTTTTTCCTTATGATTTTTTTAGTAACATTTTCTATGCTGTAGCTTACTTCATTGTAAGCATATAGTATATATACAGTATATGTACATGTAACATACAAAATATGTGTTTGTTGACTGTTCATGTTATCAGTAAGGCCTCCAGTCAACAGTAAGCTATTAGCACTTAAGTTTCTGGGGAGTCAAAAGTCATGTGTGGATTTCCAACTGCACAGGGGTTTGGTGCCCCCATCCCCTCCATTGTTCAAGGGTCAGCTATAGCTGCAATTGAGTGTGGAAGAGGCCTTTTCTATGTAACCTATGTTGGATGAAAGACAAGCCTGTTTCTCATGGGAAGCCTTCTGCAGATGCCTGTCAAGCATCTCCATGTATCTTCTGTTGGCCTGTCATTAGCAGAGTTGGACTTGGAAGAGAGCATTGCACATGTATGTTGCTAAACCCCTGCCCTTCTGTGCGTGTGCTTGGCTCTTGCAGGCTTACAGCGCTGCCGTCCAGTCCCAGTTGCAGTGGATGAAGCAGCTATGCTTGTGTGTTGAGCAGCATGTAAAAGAGAATACTGCTTATTTTCAGGTATGTGAACTTTGTGTTTGTGTGCGCGTGTGTGTGCATGCACACGTGCGCACGCATGAGCATCAGAGAAGATGAGAATACCCTTTTCCATTCAGGCAAGCAATTGTATGTACCTGTGTGTCCACACAAGCCTGCACATGGAAAAGGTAGGGTGAAAAACACATCTATATCAGTTAAACCACACTTTACTGTGTAAACCATCACTCCCAAAGCACAGCTGCTTAAAACTGTAATCCTTTAGTTAGTTCTTGACTATGTGGTTTGGTGATTTGGGCTAGGCTCAGTTGAGATGAGAAAAGATGATATTCTTATTCTATGTATTTATTTATTTTTAAATTTACATCCAAGTTAGTTAGCATGTAGTGCAACAATGATTTCAGGAGTAGATTCCTTAATGCCCCTTCCCCATTTAGCCCATCCCGCCTCCCACAACCCATCCAGCAACCCTCTGTTCTCCATATTTAAGAGCCTCTTCTATTTTGTCCCCCTCCCTGTTTTTGTATTATTTTTGCTTCCCTTCCCTTATGTTCATCTGTTTTGTCTCTTAAAGACCTCATATGAGTGAAGTCATATGATATTTGTTTTTCTCTAATTTTGCTTAGCATAATACCCTCTAGTTCCATCCATGTAGTTGCAAATGGCAAGATTTCATTCTTTGTGATTGCCGAGTAACACTCGTGTGTGTGTGTGTGTGTGTGTGTGTGTATACATACATACATACATACACCACATCCTCTTTATCCATTCATCCATTGATGGACATTTGGGCTCTTTCCATACTTTGGCTATTGTTGGTAGTGATGCTATAAACATTGGGGTGCATTTGCTCCTTCGAAACAGCATACCTGTAACCCTTGGATAAATACCTAGTAGTGCAATTGCTGGGTCTTAGAGTAGTTCTATTTTTAATTTTTTGAGAAGAAAAGATGATTTTCTCATCTTGCTTAGCCTGTGGATGGCTGCAGGCAACTGGCAGGCAGGCTAGGGGCTGGTTGGTTGCAAATGGCATCACTTCCACGTCTGATAGTTGGTGGGGGTGATGGGGTACAAGGCCATGACATCTGTTAGGCTAGCCTAGGCTTCTTCATGTTTGTCCCACAAACGACCAGAGAGAGTGAGCCCCAGTACACAAGCCCTTTTTTCTGCTGTCACATTTATTATATCATTGGCCAAAGCAAGTCATGTACCTGGGCCGGCTTCAAGGGAAGAAGTACACCCTCCCTCTTGATGGGTGAAGCTGTAAAATCCCAGGACCATTTTTCTTTCTTCAGTCTATCACAAGGTCAAGAACATACTCCTTATTTTCAGATGAGGATAGGAGGAGGAAATAAGCCGTTGCCTCTGTTTGGGTTTGCCCTAAATTAAATAATCTTGCTAATCATTTTGTAATCTTATCAGTGAATTGGAATGTTTGATCACTCAACCTCTAGGCTTTTCATGACACGCTTACCTCACAGCCAAGTGTCCTCACTAGCAGTGTTTCTGAGAAGGCGAAGCTGACTGACTTTTCTCTAGGGTTAAATAGGCTTTGTGGTTGTCATCACTAATATTTTCCCAGATGTGGTGTTTTAAGCCCTCAGTTTCCACTCGTGCGGATTTTGTAATGAAGTGTCATCAATCCAGGAGAGTAGTTACAGTGAGATTGCTTTTTCTTGGTTAACATCTGTGTGTCGTGATGTGTTGAGCCCAAGATCCCGTTCCTATCCTCACAGTTCTTCAGTGATGCACGGGACCTGGAGTCATTCTTGAGGAACCTCCAAGACTCCATCAAAAGAAAATATTCCTGTGACCACAATACCAGCTTATCTCGTCTCGAGGACCTGCTCCAGGACTCCATGGTGGGTGTTGCCTCAGAGGGATGATTACTCCTGAGAAACAGAGTAAACCATATCAGCTGCTGCTGTTTATATCCTTGAAAGCTGTAGGGTAATGGGTCAGTGTTATAAAATGTGGCTCACATTCAAATAAAGTTTAATCCCAGTTTGTTCTTATTCTTTTTTTTCTTTTCTGTCCTTAAAGAAGTTGCTGATAAGATTCCTTTGGGTATGCTATTGAAGTAAAGGCCTAGTCCTCTTCCCCTGAGCCACTTAGTGCCCACTATGCTTGTCTTTGCATTGTTCCTATTTTAATTCAAAAGTTGGGACCAAAGATGAGGTGTAAAGCATGAAAAATAGTGTTGAAGGGGATTAGGTGACTGACATCAAATTCTTTTTTCACTCTTTCATGCAAAGAGAATTAAAACAAAACCAAACCAATGAACTAGACCTGAGCCAAATTTTTCCTCTGTGGTAATTTTGTTTTGCCAAAATTAGGTATTAGAATATTGACTTTAATTAAGGATGACGTTAAAATCTTATGTAGATATAATGCAATATTTGTCCAATTTATGTAGCAGTATTAACTTTGAGAAAATGTTTTTGCATCTGGTATTTACTCCAAATCAGTTTTATATTCATTTTCTCCAATGAATTATTCTTTCAGAAATGCTGATAATAAAATCAGAGCAGGAGTGTTTACGTGTATTGAATGCATATTACACAGAGTTGGCAGGACAAGGCCCCAGCTACGTCCCAAATTAAGATAGAAGAGTGTGTAATAGGGAAATTATTTTTTCTATATGAGAAGCCAGAGGATTCCCACATTTCAGTAGAAAATTATAAATAAGAGAACCAGAGAACCCAAAACATTTTTGTAGGTGAAAGTTGGGTATTTGTGAACATTAGTTGATTATTTATTGATTTATTTTTACACTTTCAGGTATTATTAACCTATGAATGGGTTCACATTCAGTGTTTTACCCGGGCCAATAATCTGTTAATTTAATGAACTTGGAATGAAGGATAAAAGCCTGACTTTTTAGATGTTGTCTCTAGAATGTCTCTCTTGGAGGTACTTCAAGTTTGAAGGAGGAATATAATAATCCTTGGCTATTATCTCCTCCCTTCCACAGAGTACCTTCCTGTCTTAGGGTAACTTCTCTGCAATTGTTGTCATATCTTCTCTTCTCGAGGGTCGCTGCTCTGTTCCCTCCTCTCCAGGTCAGGGGCATCGGGTTGGCGGCGTCATCTGGGCATGAAGTCACCTGGGTCTGCTCCTCAGCTTTTCCTCAGCTTGTCCGTCAGGTTCGGGAGCATCTGTCATGGCTTCTGGTTCTTTTCAGAACTTTTACCACGCTGAGCACTTGGTCTCTGGAGCTTGAGATGTTTGGCTGTGGGTTAGACAGAAATTGACATCTTTATTGCAAGGAAACGGAAATGGGTAGACCAGCTGTCAAGTACGGAACAGTGTGGCTGTCTCCCTGATATATTCCATTCCTCTTTCTTAACTAATAAGTTAAAGTTGTATTTCTTCCAATCATGCTCCCGGGGACAGGCACAGGTAGTTTATTTAAGCATTTCTTTTTCTTTACTTGCATATTCTTAATTCTTTAATGGCATTTCTTAACATTATTAACTCTTTACTCTCATCACATCTACTTCCATCCTAAGAAAGTCCTCTTCTAAGGACTTTATATACCTCAAAATGGGCTTGACACATCCTGGTAATACATGAAAGTTATCTTTTACTCTCTAACACAATTGGTAGTACATTGCTACCAATTTTGTGGACAGGAAGTTCATTAGTTTTTAAGATAATTGGGTTTGCAGAGACTTGAGAGTTTCAATTTTGCATGATACTTCTTTCAAACCATTCAAATTTACATGAGCATGGCACAGCAAGACCCTAAAAGGTAAACCCTGAATCATTTGTCGTGTCTCCACCAACAGCATTGCTTTATAAACTGTTGGTGGAAGAGCTAAGATCTTTCTCTAGAAAGTTTGACTCAATTTAAGAAAGTGAAATATTAGTAGTAGAGCTTGGGAGGTATGATTATTTAAAAATTCTTTAAAGAGCACAATTCTAGCTTCTCCTAAGCAGAAGGCAAGAACTGGCTTCTGCCAGTAAGAAAGCGAATAATAATAATAGCGACAGCAATGTTGTTATTATTGTTTTTAAATTTCCATGCTTTCTGAACCTTATTTGGGGAAATCCCTTGTTAGCTGTGTGTAGCTGTATTTGGCAGCTGGCAGTTCTTTTTTTTGTTTGTTTTTGTGTTTTCATTACTTTTGCATGTGGCTTCATGATTCATTGAAAAGGGCACAGGGAGAAAGCTGAACAATTTGAGTATAAAAGCACTTGGTAGAAGACAAATATCCTCTCCTTTTTTCTTTATCTTTGTGTTTCTAAGATGGCTCCACCAAGGATCCCTACTTAACTGAGAAATGACATTCTCTGAGGGAGTGGAGCACTCAGTTTTCTTTGTTGGCTCAGTCACCCTGAGTAGCAGCATTAATGTCTTTTTTGTGTTTCTTCTCACTTTGTAGGACGAAAAGGAGCAGCTTATACAGTCCAAGAGTTCCGTTGCCAGTCTTGTTGGGAGATCAAAAACCATTGTTCAGCTAAAGCCACGCAGTCCTGACCACGTGCTAAAGAGTACCATTTCTGTGAAGGCCATCTGTGACTATCGGCAGATAGAGGTGAGGAGGTGGAAAGGGTACCTCTGGCTCCAGAAGGAAGGGAGGGAGAAGCAAAACCTTCAGTTTAGGGGTGTGATAGAGAAAGGTCTAATGTTACAGATTTTTGATTTTTTCATAGAACTTAAACATTCTTTTAAAAAAAAAAAAAAAAAAAAAAAAAAAAAAGCCCAAACTCTATAATCTTGACCTGCTCCCTGCCTCTGTGATTGGTATCATCATCCACCCGATTTCCTAAGTAATGTCAGAAATGATACTTTGTAGCCCCTGAGCCATATCTTTGGCTTTTCCTCTCTTATACCCCACAACTAGTAGCCACACCAAATCAATACCAACTTGCAAATAAATATCCCTTAGATTAGATGTACTTCTTTCTGTCCCTGCAGCTACTACCCTGATTTAGACCATAATTTCTTTCACTTGAATAATGGCATTAGCCTCCCCAATCAATGCATTCTCTATTCTTCTACCAGAATGATCTTAAAAAAAAAAAAAGAACAATTCCCTAGTTCTATTTAGATGGCCTAAATTCCTTAATGTGGCTTCAAGGTCCTGAATAATCCTTCTTTACCTTTCTAGGCAAGACTGGGTCATGTCCCTTCCATGCATTCCCTGGTAAATTGCATTTGACATACAGTATTATAACTCTTACCCCCACCAGAATATGAGGAATATTAGCCATGTTTGTTAGTTTACCATCTTACCATTCTTACATCCAGTGGCCCAGCAAAATTCCAGGCACATAATAGGCTCAGTAAATATTTGTAATGCGTAAGAATGAACTTCTCTGGCACTTTTCTGTGTCTCAGTATTTCTGTCTATAAAATAGGGATGAGGATGTTGGTTCCTTGTCTCCCAAGAGAAAGAATTGATGATTCCAAAATGCTTAAGCCTTTTTAAGGGATTTGAGTGGGATGACAAGAAGGGAGGAAGAGGGAAGTATCACAAAAGCAAAGTTGTGATTATTCATGTCCCTTTAACCTTTGCCCTAATGGCTGTAGATGCAGAGAGGTTGTTTCTGGAGGTCTTAAGACAGTCTCCTTAGAACTTGCATATACTAGGTTACTTGACCTGTAATAAACATTTAACAAACACTTGCTTCCTTGATTTCTTTGATGTCTCAACCTTTCCCGTGTTGTATATTTATATAAGGTTATCTTTTCATCAAAATCAGGAACCCTCACTAAGGGATGTCAGATCTCCAAAATGATTTTTTTCTTAAGGATTTCATAGCTTTGGGATCAGGCACCACATCATACAGGTTGTCGGTTTATCCACTAGCAATAACTTACAAGTTTGTCTCTTCAGATCACCATTTGCAAGAATGATGAGTGTGTGTTGGAAGATAATTCGCAGAGGACCAAGTGGAAAGTGATCAGCCCCACAGGGAATGAGGCGATGGTGCCATCGGTCTGTTTCCTTATCCCCTCACCCAATAAGGATGCCATTGAGATGGCCAGCAGGTAACTTGGTTCAGGGGCCACTCTGGACTGCCCATGTGCTGCTTGGCTTGAGTGAATTGATGGAGGGATGAATCTGCATTTGCAATCTTAAACAGAGCAGCCAAGTTTTAAAGTTTCTTTTGGGAAAGACTTACTATTAAGATAGCAAGTCTTGTGCTTGCAGCTACATGGTAGGTTTTCAGTAAATGCTTATGTTCAATTCGGTGATCATTCTTGATCATAAACAGTTAACTCTCAGAAGATTGATTTTTGTAGTGACAGTTAATTTTCTTGTTTATATTTTATTAAAGTAACATACATACATATTTTTTAAGTTTATTCATTTATTTTGAGAAAGAGACAGAGAGAACCAGGGAGGGGCAGAGAGGGAGGGAGAGAGAATCCCAAGCAGGCTCCATGCCATCAGCACAGAGCCTGATGGTGGGGCTCAGACTCACAAACTGTGAGATCATGACCTGAGCCCAAACCAAGAGTCAGACGTTCAAGTAACTGAGCTAGCCAGGCGCCCCTACATACATATTTTTAAAAGCTGAATTACACCATGAAGCTTGTAATAAAAACCAGCTATTCCCTCCCCCACCCCAGAATTCTAATTTCCTAAGCCTGCTATTTTCAATCCTTTATTTTGATGTCACTGAAATTTTAATTAATGGGTTTTTTGGAGAGGGAGCAGATAAACTAAATGGGTTTAAAGTCTCCTATTTAAGTGAAGTCCTGGTTTCTAATTTTCTATCTTATTCTTATATGTCACATTTCTTAATTTGAAATTCAAGGTAATGTGTGTGTTGAATATTTCTGTGTATGTGAGAGTTTAGAGTCTGTAAGTCTTCCAGAAGTTGAGATTGAATCAGGCACAGGATGCTTTAGAAAGAAGCTTCTCCGGTCCTTCACACTGCAGTTCTTTTTTTGTTTTTTGTTTTTAATATGCCAGATAACTTTTTAAGTTGTTCTTAACTTTTAAACATTTTAGCAGTTTTGTGAATATATAGACCACAGTAATGTATTTTTAAGCATTGATATGGATTGTCGTTTTTCAACAATTCCAAATGGGGTTATTTTATCTCTACTTTTCTATATTACTTACCTTCACGGGTGTACCCTCTCTCTGACTTCTCGTGATCATTATATATACAGGTAACATTTATAAGACTGCTAAACATGCTGACATCATATTCATAATACCATTATAAGTCCAAATTGTTTGACTATGTCAATTAATTTGGTTCTAAAGATTGCTGTGTTGTTATATTTGATTACTTGCCTTTCTCTGCTCAGCATATAAATCCAGTTCTGCTAAGGCAATCACATTTTCGCCCTGAAAGGTCTCTAATGTGGAGCTAAGGTTTTAGAATAGCCACAGCCAGCTTCTCTATTGTTTCTAGGGTCGAACAGTCTTACCAGAAAGTGATGGCCCTTTGGCATCAGCTACATGTTAACACCAAAAGCCTTATTTCCTGGAACTATCTGCGGAAGGACCTTGACCTTGTAAAGACCTGGAACCTGGAAAAGGTAATTGTGAAAAGCCTTCCCTCAGGCTCACATCCTATTGGCAAGCTTTTTTCAGAAGGAACTTTTTTTCATTACTGTAAGACTCCTGCCCACCCAAAGGGAGTAAAGTGGAGTCAGGGATGTTTCACAATTAGGGGGTCCTAGGAACAAAAAACAGCAGCCTGAATGGATAAGGAAATTCCTGATGAAAACAAACAAGATCTCCTGTTTTCTTGGCCAACTAAAGGCTTCTTCTCACTCTGCAGCTCTTGTATAAATGTATGTTGTACAGGAATAATGGTGAATTAACCATTAGTCAGGGTTGTGTACAATAGGGCACAGTGGGTGCTTCTGGGGTGCTAGTAATATCATTTCTTGATCTGAATGCCAATGACATGGACAAGTTCTTTTTGTGAAAAAACAAATGTTTGCAGTTACGGTATGTGCAGCTGATTTGTCTATATATTAAACATCAATAAAAAGGAAAAAGGGAGAAGGTATTATGTTCCCATTCTGTTGAAATTTCTTTTATTTCCTTCTCTCTGTGTCTCTCTTTAGCTTCGAGCCTCAGCACCAGGGGAGTGCCACCAGGTTATGAAGAACCTCCAGGCCCACTATGAAGACTTTCTGCAGGATAGCCGTGACTCTCTGCTCTTCTCAGTGGCTGATCGTTTGCGCTTGGAAGAGGAGGTGGAGGCTTGTAAAACCCACTTCCAGCACCTGATGAAGTCCATAGAGAATGGTGTGTGCCTTGGCAAGAGGGAGAGGAATGGTGGAATGAGAGCCCTGAAGGGTGCTGCTGGACCCTTCATATAGACTAGAAAGTACCACCTTTTTACCATTTGAGTTGCTAAAAACTTGAGATAGGGAAAAACTTATAGAGATGAATTCTGAAAATTAGATCATGGAAGAAGAGGCCTTATTTGTCATTGCTTATCAGCCTGTCACATTTTCTTGTGGAGATAACATGTTTAGATCCTTAACGATGAGTGTATAATGCAGGGAATTTAGGATCAGGCAGAAGCTTCCCCCCATGTAAGGCCTTACTTTCATTTGTGGAATATCAGGCCTGTTGCCCTCTGTCTGAGGGTGAATCTATTATTCTCAGGTTTGTTGATTTCTGTTGTGGTGGTTAATGGTATTCTGTACTTGTGCATTCACAGAGGACAAAGAAGAAACTGTGGCCAAGACGTACATTTCAGAGCTGAAGAATATCCGACTACGCCTGGAGGAGTGTGAACAGCGGCTGATCAAACGAATTCAGTCTCCAGCCAGTTCTAGGACTGACAAAGATGCCCGGCAGGATAGTGCATTAAGGATAGCGGAGCAAGAGGTAAGCATCGAGCAAGGTGGGTGCTGCCTGCAGTGCACATGCTTTCAGAGTGAATGGGTGTCAAGACAATATGGAGCCTAAGACATAAAACAATAGACTCATGGCATTCCTTCTCAAGAGTCCTTCCCTGCAGCCTATAAATGCCTTTACCTGTGGCAAAGAATGATTTCAACTCCCAGTGTGTCGCTGAATGTTTATTAGTTTTTTACACACTTGGGAAGGCAAACTGGCAAATTCTTCTAAGCACTGCATTTGGGCTACATATTTTAAGACCGCGTAGTAGAGATGTTACTGTCGGCTCAAAGTTTTGGAAAACTTTGGAAGTTAAGTGATTTAGTACTTAACTATAATGAGTTTCCTGAAAAAGTAAAATGCCATCAAAATGTAGGGCAGTGTTTCTGAAGTAAAAGCAGCAAATATTAATTGTTTTGCTATGTGCTCATAGGTATGTAAAGACAGTAAGCCAAAGTCCTTGCTTTGGGCTTATAGCATAGTTTAAAGAAGAATAAAAGGTTGAAGTCACAATTAGAAACTTGAGTATAAGAGATGTCATAAGATAGTACCTAGGATATTTACAGATTTCTAAGCAAACATTGCTATAGGAAGTTTGAGTATTATTAGACCATTTCTACTTGGGATGGTATGAGAGCTCTTTATTTATTTTTTTTTTAATTTTTTTTTTTTTCAACGTTTTATTTTATTTTTGGGACAGAGAGAGACAGAGCATGAATGGGGGAGGGGCAGAGAGAGAGGGA